TCTGCCCACCCACCCCCTCTCTCTCTGCGCCCGGCCGGGGTGCAGGAGGCGACGCCGTAGCTTGCCCACCCTCCCCCCTCAGGGGGGAGGAGGCAGAGGCGGCATGGCGGCGGCCAGCAGGGACTCGCCGCCACCAGCAGAAGCAGGAGGACACTTGGCCAGGGTGCAGGAGGCGGTGCCGCAGCTCGCCGCCACCATGGGAAGGGGCCGGGGAGGGTAGCAGAGCCCCATGGCAGCTGAGCCCCTGCTCCCGGCGAGAGAGGAAAGAAAGGCGGCGGGGATCGGGGGTCTCTGCCTGCCCGCCCCCCCCTCTCTCTCTGCACCCGGCCGGGGTGCAGAAGTTGGTGCCGCAGCTCGCCCTCGCTTCCCCCTCAGGGGACTCGCTGCCGCCAGCAGAAGAAGGAAGACGTCCGGCCGGGTCGCAGGAGGCAGCGCCGCAGCTCACCCGCCCTCCCCCTCCCCCCGGGGGGGAGGAGGAGGCGGCATCAAAAGGGCTTCCAGGCCCCACCGGGAGGTTGGCATCTGCACCTCACCTAGGGCGCAGCAACACCTCGAGCCGGTCCTGTGAGTGTCTTAAGCCACTGGAAAGCAGATGCCAACAAAATCCTCTCAGTCCTCATTTGGCCTGTTTCTAGATGGAGAAGAGAGTTAGAGATGGCTGGAGGGACCTGTAAAATGGCAGGAAGGAATTTAGATTGTATCTTTTCAAGTAAATTCAAGCTTTGGGTGCAAAAGGTCTCAGGGGTCACCTCCAGTTAAAAGTGGCAGAGCTGGGAAAGGCTCCTGCTTGAGATCTTGGAGGGCTGCTGCTAGTCAGGCTGGGGTAGATGAGCCAATGATCGAGCAAAGTGTATACCAAGAGAGGTTGTATAGTGCCAGTTTGGTGTAGTGGTTAAGTGTGCTAACTCTAATCTGAGAGAACCAGGTTTGATTCCCCACTCCTCCAATTGCACCTGCTGGATGACCTTGGGCAAGCCATAGTTCTGGCACAGCTGTTCTTGAAAAAGAGCAGTTTCTGTCAGAGCTCTCTCAGCCCCACCTACCTCACAAGGTGTCTGTTGTGGGGAGGGGAAGGGAAAGGAGTTTGTAAGCCGCTCTGAGACTCCTTTGGGTAGTGAAGGGCAGGGGATAAATCCAGTCTCCTCCTCCTCCTCTTCTTCTTCTTGTTAGACAGTATGTGGGAGGTCTGGGTTCAGATCCCTGCTCACTCAAGAAGCTCACAGGGTGATCAATCACTCCCTCTCCCTCTCTCAGCCTAGCCTACCTCATAGGAATGTTGGGGTGTAAAAGGGGAAAACTGTATATATCTCCCTGAGCTAACAGGATGAAGTGAGAGATAAAAAATATAGTATCTGCAGTTTGAATTCAGCTGCTAGATGGCATATTGGTGAAATTTAGAGTGCATAAAGCTGCTTTATACTGAGTGAGACCATTGGTCTGTCAAGGTCAATGCCCAGGGTCCTGTCAAGCAGACTAGGGCCGGGAGTTCCTGAGTGAAATTTCTAGATTTATCCTAATCAGAATGCCTCCTTGCAGGGAGCCAAGAAGAATGTGACTCTGCTTCGAGGGCATGTGGGGGCTGTTCAAAACAGGGGCATGGCACACATGGAAAGAGGGTGCTTAAGTGTTTACCCCAATACCAATTTACTATCTTGAAATGGCCTTGAGGAGATACTGTTTGGCCCACTGGCAGGCCTGTAGCCATGGGGAGGCTTGGGGGGGGGCAGTGTCCCCCACAGATGGCCCCTAGCCCTTCCCAGGAGGATGCCAGACCCCCCTCCTACCCTGACCCCCGGGATCCCCATTGGCAAAGATGTGCACCTGCTTGCTGCCTCAGCTCTCCCTCAGCAGCAGCAGCGTGGTGGCCGAGATGCCGAGGCGAGCCATTAGAGAATGATGCTTCCTTTTGCTCACTGCCTGCTGCCCAGCCTGCCTGCCTGCCTCCTCAGCTCTCCTTCTCCCTCTACATTCCCAGTGCACGGGGGCTCCTGAACCTCTGCGAATGGAGAGCCTGCCTGCTGGCCAATGACTTCCTGGTGATGTCACAAGTGATGTCACCATGTCAGGGGCATGCGCCTCTCCCCCCCCACACACACACACCGAGAATTTCCTGGCTACAGGGCTGCCCACTGGACCAATGGGCTACATTTGTATGGAGAGATTACATGTAAGTTTCCCGGGGGGGGGGGGGGGGACAGTGGCTCCCTGGGGTGTTTCAGGTCAAGAAAACTGCAGGGGTCCCAATGGTCTTGGTCTGAACTGACAACCAGACCTGTGAGAATCCAAGTATCAGCCAGGAAGACCCTCCCAGCACACATCTGCTTAATAGGACCTAGGACTAGTGGATCATGCGGTTGGACCTTCAGGGAGGCCCATGTTCTGCCTCTTTTCCTCAGGTGGGTTTAAAACCCTGAAGGCCAAATGTGCTCCCCCTGCCCATTTTCTCATTTTCTTCTTCAAAGCAATGCTGCGGCTACAATGGATATTTTAGGCTCCCCCTGAATGGAGAGCAAGCAGCCATCTACCTTCCCTGGGGCAAGAAAAACCTGTTTTCCCCAACAAACTTGAATGTTAAACTGTGCCAGGAAAGACTAATGAGAACTTCGGAGTTCCAGTATGCTGCTCTTCCATCCTTCTCCTTTAAAAACAACAACACAGATGTATAATGCTATTTAGATGAGGGGTTTCTGAATGCTGAACGATTAGCAGGAAATCTTATTCCCCACTCACTGCAAAAGAAAAAGAAAAAAAAGAATGGAGGCTGGCTACTGATCATAAATTTCCCTATCCAAAACATCTTTCAAAAGACGGGGTTAATCAAAGTCACAGTCATGAAAAACAAGGGGGGGAAGCTGCTCACCACTTTAGGCGCCTCCGGGATCGGGCCCTGCTGCTCAGCGCCTCTCACAACAGGACCGGGTCTTTTCCCGCCGGCTCGGGGTCGTCTTCGCTGGAGTCGTTTTCCAATTCCTCAGGGGTTGCTGGCAAGGCTTTGGCGTATTTTGGTTTCCCAGTCGGCTTTTTGGAAGGGGTGGCGGGGCGCCCTTTCGCCTGATCACTGGGCCCCTGCTTTCCGGGACCCGCTCCACTGCAGTTGGCCACAAAGTGGCCCCTTTCCCCACACTTCAGACAGAGTCCTTGACACATGCGTTGCTCCCACATAGACTCGAACTGCCGCGCCGGTTTCCCTTTTGGAGCTGGAGTGGTAGGCTTACCTCCCGCCGTGGCGATGTCCAGGCACAGGGGGTTCTGGTGGGTTTCCGTACTCTCCGCCTCGTGCATCCATGCCGGGAGGGAGATTGGATCTACCACTGGTAGGACTGTTTCTCGGATTTCCGGATTCAATCCCACTTGGTATAACTCTGCCAGCACCGGATCAGGCCACGTTTGAACTTTGGCCGCATGCAACATGAACTCCGAGGAGTACTCCCTCACGGATCTCTTGCCTTGCTTCAGGGTATGTAGGAACGCCCTTGCCTTTGGCCCGGCATTCCGGTCTTCGAATTGGGCCCGCAATGCCCACATAAAAGCATCCAAATTCACTAACTCGGGGCCCCATGTGTTGTGCAGGCTCACATACCAAGCCGCCATGGGGCCCTGCAGGCATGCCGCTACCACATCCACATGACTGCTGTCATCTGGGAACAGGTGGCCCGACCTTTCCACAAACTTCATCACTCGAACCACAAAGTAGGAAAATTCCTCAGGGTTCCCGTCGAACGTGGCTTCGATGAGGTCCTTCGGGCGATGGATCACCAGGCCTCTCGGGCTGGCAGGTCAGGGTCAGGGTGCTGGAACTGGGGCCTCCCCCGGGGCACGGCCTGGGCACGTCTCCAGGCTGGGGCTGCGGCGGGGGAGCCTGCCACCGGTTGTGTTTCCCTCTCTTCTCTGATGGCTTGGATTACCAACTGCGGGATCGCATGGAACAGGCCCTCCAGGTCCCTCTGCAGTTGTTGCCTTTCTCGATCCGCCATCTCCATCCTGTGGGCCAGTTCCAGTCCCTCATCCGGGGACACGCGCCCACTCCTCGCCTTTGACCGCTCCGTCACCCACGGGGCCGGTGGTGGTTCAAAGGAGGCCCCATACAGGGGGTAACCTCCAGCGTGAAATCCCAGGTCAAACCTGCTGTCTCTCGGGGGCCCGTGTGTAAGCATATAAGTCTCTGCCATGGAATCCGGGTTAAATTGGCTCCATCTGGAGCTGAGACGATACCCCTGGCCGGGCGGCTGCCATGGCCCCGAGGGGGTCAGGAACACCAATGTCGAGGTTGTCTTTGGGACGGCTCCCATCCCAGCCACTGTCACTGGTGGCATTGTGGTCACTGGTACCGATGCCTGGGTCATGGGAGTCGCACCCCCAGTCGTGGTAGGGATTGGGACCGCTTCTTCCTCTCCCTCTTCCTCCTCCTCATCGGGAATAGGGTTCTCCTCTTCAGCGCTCGTCTCGGTTTGGGAGAGAGGCACGTAGACAGAGAATGAAGGATTCTTAACAGAATGTCAGAACCCACAGCCAACAACATAGTACACGCTTTCAGGAAAGTAATACTTTATTGAAGAGCTATAGATGCATTAACATAGGCACTGTTAAGAATGACGTCTGCCCACGGGGCATAATAGGATATAGGGTATTCATATGCAACCCCCCCCCCACTGCCCTGGCCAATTAGCCACCCTCCCGCGCGCAGGAGAAATTGCTCCGACCGTTTAGCGCTGAAGCTGGGAACCAACTCTCTCCCACGGTCCCCGAGAAATCCAGACATCAACATCCCCACCTGCAGAACTTAGAGATAAGCGTTGCAGCAGCAAACTTTCTCATTTTCTTCTTCAAAGCAATGCTGCAGCTACAACGGATATTTTAGGCTTCCTCTGAATGGAGAGCAAGCAGCCATCTCCCTTCCTTGGGGCAAGAAAAACCTGTTTCCCCAACAAACTTGAATGTTAAACTGTGCCAGGAAAGACTAATGAGAACTTCGGAGTTCCAGTATGCTGCTCTTCCATCCTTCTCCTTTAAAAACAACAACACAGATGTATAACACTATTTAGATGAGGGATTTCCGAATGCTGAACGATTAGCGGGAAATCTTATTCCCCACTCACTGCAAAAAAATAATAATTAAAAGAATGGAGGCTGGCTACTGATCATAAATTTCCCTATCCAAAACATCTTTCAAAAGACGCTTGCCATTGAATGTCTGTTTCCTTCACCTGCTGGGGAAAGGACCCAAGGGAGAAAAAGAAACAGAGAATCCCCGTGTGCACCTGAAGTTCTGGAAAAGAAAGCAGGTACTGTCTTTTGTTTTTAACTTTTATGTTTTGGGGAGGGGGGGTAGACACAGGTCATTTAAATGAATCTGTGTTGTTTAACATAATTTCAATAACACAGAGAGAGAGAATTAAAATACAAAGATGCTTGATTTCATTTGCTCAGCCATTTATGGGAATATTGTTTTGGGTACTTCTATGTGACCTGGAGACAGAAGCAATAGGATACTTTCATGTGACCCAGAAATGTCAAATTGGATCTACCAAAACAGAAGTAAATTACATTGCATCTATGAAAGGCCTGAGGAGGGTTGCCAGGTGCCCCTTGGCCACCAGTGGGGAATGGGGGGTTAGAGTTGCCAGATCCAGGTTGTGAAAGTCCTGGAGATTTGGGGATGGAGCCTGGGGAGGACATGGACCTCAGTGGGGTACAGTACCATAGAGTCCACCCTCCCAAGCATCCATTTTCTCCAGGTGAACTGATCTCTGTAGTCTGGAGATGAGTTGTAATTCCAGGGGATCTCCAGGTCCCAACTGGAGGCTGGCATCCCTAGGCCTAACATTTTCTTCATAATGAAAAACCTCAAAAGGAAGAAAATGGGACTGAAGAAGCAACCCAGACAGGGAGACAAGAGAAGGACTGTTTACCATTTTCCTTACCAGCAGTTATCAGCTCAGAGTTGTGTGTCTCCCTCCCCTTTCCTCATGGAGGGAATAAGATATGGGTACAGATGCAGGACATTGGGGGGGGGGGGAGGATTTGCTTCTCTCTCCAAACGTCATGATCACCATTACGTTCAGATCGATTACCACTCTGATGGGGTCCAACATTAATTGCTTCCATTTAAGGAAATGGCTGCAAGTAATTTCTGCAGAGAAAAGGAAGGATTTCATTGGGGGGAAGGAGACAGGGGGGAAAAATCTGTTGCTGGCCAGGTGAGTTGGTTAAGCCCACTACTGACCAGGGGAAGGTCCAGAGTTTTGAAGGTAGATGGAGACGCCCTGCACCAGTGGCACAACGATGGCTCTTTCTGCACTCTCCTTTTAATCCATGTTCACCGTGGTGTCCTCCAAGCAATTCTGCACTAAAATCGAATTCAACCTTCTTTTTAATCTGGGCTACCCCCCCCCCCATTCTGCACTAAAATCGAGTTCAGCCTTCTTTTTCATAGAATCATTGAATTACGGAGTTGGAAAGGACCTCCGGGGCCATCTAGTCCAAACCCCCCCACCCCCGCACAATGTAGGAAATTCACAATTACCTGGGGTTTCCCCCCCCATTCAGCATTACATTACCTGTCTTCAGCGGTCAGCCTGGTTTCAGCCTGCTGTTTCGTGTCGTGAGAAAAGTGTGGCTGCACGTGTCTGTGAATGCATCTACCCGTGCCACCCACACTCCCCCTCTGGTTCGTGTGTCCCCTGAGTGTTGCCTCCTTACCAAAGGCAGAGGTGTAAGCTTGGAAACTGCTAAGCGCTGGCAGAGACACTCAAAGGTCTCTTCTTAAAATAAAACTTATCTTTATTAAAAGAAAAACATTCAAAAGTTTACCTGACAAGGTGGCCAGCAAAAGACGCTTATGCCAGCTTGCCAACACAGTACACTTCTATTTCCTAAAGGCAGGCAGCAAATATACAGAAAAATGAACATGCAAGCAGAGATATCCCACCCAAACATGCAGAAAAACGAAAGGCCTTTCAGGCTGACTCCCAATATTTCAGGAGAGTGAAAGCCTCTCCCAATCCTTCAAGAGCCAGCGAAACTGACCAGTATTTATACCAAATGATCAAAGAGGTCCCTCAATAATCAAATTACAGTTGTAAATTAACATTTAGAAGTTGAAATTGTTTTACAGGACATTGCTTCTTTGGTCTCACACAACAAAAATTACATTTTACCAGATCAATACAGTGTCATTGTTTTTGTTCTGGTGTTTCCTAATCATGGGAAATAAACTGTCCTTTGATGTTATCTCTGAGATGGGGGTGTGTGAACTCCTGTATTTCAGGAGTTAGTTTTTCAGGAGATTGAAGTCTGTCAACTGCCCAAATGGCCTTTCCTGTTAGCTACATTTTATTGCCTAGGAAATTCTAGGTCTCACACCTGTGGAGATTTCCTGGGAATGGAATGTGTTACATCTTTGGTTCAGTGGGAAAAAACCCAAGCCTGTTTGCTAGCAAAGACAGAGACAGATATATGGATTTTATAAACTATTTGGTTCATTTTTAAACCCAAACCTTCTATATTTCTAAAATGTCTTACTACATTGCCTCGGGTTATTTGTATGCTGTTTTGCCGTGGACAAATCGCCTCAACTCAAACACTGAGAAAATCCAGAGTGGCAGGCAAATATAGTACTATGTGTCGGCAATGCATGCAGAGGCAGTGGAGGGGTTGTGTCTGCTAACTTTGTTTGTGTGCAGCCTAATGCTGGCATTGAGTCATGCACATACAGAATATAGGGCTTCATCCCTGCCATTGGGAATACTACTTTTCAAGAGAGGCCAAACACAGGAAGAGACCCTTGTATGCGCACTGTTTCTGTGCCAGCACTAGTCTGAGTGCACATCAAGGGAGGCAGGTATGATCCTTATGCACATGCTGCTTGTACAGAAGCAGGTGTAGTACAGTGGCTAAAAGAAAGAGCTGTGAACTGGGAGGTCCCCAGTTCAAATCTTGCCACTGCCACAAATTCATTCGTTTGCCTTAGGCTGGTTCCTTTCTCGCAACTTCCCACCTGCGGCATGGGAGATATTAATATTGACCTACCTTAAGGGGCTGCGGCAAGAATCACAAAAAAGATAATGCACATGAAGCTCAGAGCTTTACATAAATACAGAGAACGCTGCATGGTTATGTATGGGACTAAACAGTTTCCAGCATCTCCCCCCCCACTCAAAAATAGGGTTGCCAGCCTCCAGGTGGGTCCTGGAGATCTCCTGCTTTAACAACAGACCTCCAGCTGACAGAGATCAGCTCCCCTGGAGAAAATGGCTGCTTTGAAGGGTGGGCTTTATGGCATTATACTATGCTGAGGCCCCTCCCCTCCTCAAACCCAACCCTCTCCCGGAACCACCCCCAAACTCTCCAGGTATTTTCCAACCCAGACCTGGCAACCCTATCAAAAAGTCCAGTATGGGAGGATGGTGGGAAGGATGGGAGAAGCAGGGGGGCTGTGGGAAAGTCGGGGTGTCCCCAGTCCTGCCTGTCTCATCAGACACAGTGCCCATACTGAAGAGGAACCAATGCAATGCGTCTCTTAGCTTGGCGTGGGATTCGGTCACGCCCTTGAAAGCACTATGCAAAAGGTTCCACTTTGCAATGAAAATCCAAACACAAACTGGCTCCACTCAAAGGTGTCACTGATGTTAACCTGCGCCTTGCTTGTGTTTTGAGGCTGTCAGTTATGTTGCAATGAAGAGCGGGTCTTTAGCAAGCAGGTGGGGCTATCCAGTGTGGTTAGGATGGGAAAGATAACCCAGATCGACTTCTCACTAAATCTGTCTTGTCTGTCCCACTTCAGATTTCCAGTGGGGCGAGGCTCACATATTTCTTATTTAAAACACCTCTAAGCAACCTTTCTATCCAAATTGGGTTTCCAAGGCAGACAACGTCACAACAGTAAAGCATTTAAAACATTCAAGCAGCACTGAAAATATAAAATGTTTAATGTATTCAAACATAAATATGTAATCTATTCAATAAAAACGTATTGCCATGCAGGCATACAATATCAAAACAAAAATATGTTGCCCTACAAGTTCCATAGAAAAACATATCATAAGAACATAAGAACATAAGAAAAGCCAATGTTAGATCAGGCCAATGGCCCATCCAGTCCAACACTCTGTCACACAGCGGCCAAAAATACCAGGGGCCATCAGGAGGTCCAGCAGTGGGGCCGGGACACTAGAAGCCCTCCCACCGTTGCCCCCCCCCCAACCACCAACCAAGGATATAGTGCAACCCTTGCCCCAGACTGAGAGTTCCTATCTATACCTTGTGGCTAATAGCCACTGATGAACCTCTGCTCCATATGTTTATCCAATTCTCTCTTGAAGCCGTCCATGCTTGTAGCTACCGCCACCTCCTGGGGCAGTGAATTCCATGTGTCAATCACTCTTTGGGTGAAGAAGTACTTCCTTCTATCTGTTCTAAGCCGACTGCTCAGCAATTTCATTGAGTGCCCACAAGTTCTTGTATTGTGAGAAAGGGAGAAAAGTACTTCTTTCTCTACCTGCTCTAACCCATGCATAATCTTATAAGCCTTTATCATGTCACCCCTCATCTGTCGTTTATCCAAGCTAAAGAGCTCCAAGCGCTTTCACCTTTCTTCATAGGGAAAATGTTCCAACCCTTTTATCGTTCTAGTTGCCCTTTTCTGCACTTTTCCCAATGCTATAATATCCTTTTTGAGGTGTGATGACCAGAACTGTACACAGTACTCCAAATGAGACTGCATCATCGATTTATACATCGATCCAGGGCTATTTTTGGGCAGGAACGCACAGGAACGGAGTTCCAGCTGGCTTCAGAGTTGGCCATGCCCACTACAGCCAAAACCCGTGCATGTGTGGCTACAGAGGGAAGGCCTGGAGAGTGACCCCCCCCCAGTGACCCCCCCCAGTGACTTCGGGGCGGGCGGGCCATGCCTCCCCATGCCTTCCCCGGCCTGTCCAAGGGTCTGCTTGCCCGGGCTCCCCACAGCCACGAGGCACCCAGACAAGCCAAGGGAAGGCAGTTTAAACTGCCTTCCCTTCAAGGGGGGGCTTGCCCAGGCTCTCCACAGCTGCAGGGCACCCGGGCAAGCCAAGGGACAGTATGGGGTGTGGCCTAATATGCTAATGAGTTCCTGCTGGGCTTTTTCTACCAAAAAAGCCCTGCATCGATCTACCGCTTTATATCACCATACAAGCACACGTATCGATGCAACCAAATAGGAGGGCCCTTGAGAGTTACTGGATGTACATCAAGTTGTTACCCACTGGGGAAAGACAACAATAGAGAAAGACAAATGAATATC